ACATCGCTACGAGTTCGTAAATAACGCTTGTAGGCTTCCTTCTTTGCTTTTAGCTTTGCTTTAACCGTATTGTTCATCCACTGTGTTTTTCTGACTCCACCGAGCTTTATCTTAGGTATACACGCATCAACTGCAGACATAACCGTGTTCTTGATGAATGACCAAGACTCCGCCACATTCATGTTCATGATACAGTCCGAAATGTTCGCTGCACTCACTGATTCACGAAGTTTAACATAGTCGCCTTTCGCAAAGTTGAAACGTTCACGCTTCCGAGGCGTCTTTTCTGTATAGCACTTAATACTGAAAAACAATGACTGGTGGTGACTTTTGCCCAACGGAGCCTCGTGGCGAAGCTCTTCTACCATTGATTCTTCACTAGTAAACACTAGGTCTAGAGTATTTGGAGTCTGATTACCTCTAAAATGGGTTGGCTTTGGCATATATAACATGTCATATCATACATAACAAGTCATGTCATTTATAACAAGTCATGTCATATATAACAAGTCATATAATGTATAACAAGTCATATCATACATAAGAAGTCATGTCATCTATAACAAGTCATGTCATTTTTATAACAAGTCATTTCAATATATAACAATATAGCTTTTAGTTGGCAGACTGTGTCATTAAAAGGTTGCGCTGGCTTAGGGCTTGCATACAAAAGAATATCACCTATACCATCATTTATTAGTGTGCAGAATGTTTACCAATGGCTTATCACTTTAAATCACCTCAAAATACTAATAATGCTGTACTTTGAGAAATTATTAAGATTGACCCAGTTTGACACAGCTACAGAGTGCATCAGAGATACGTCTGCCATTTACTCGTAAGAAAACGCGTCACTAATTGGACAATATAACTCATTTCTTTTCTTAGTGTGCATTTTTCTCGTCCTTCTTGCGTCGGCATCTTATAGTTTGCAGATGGTTTTCCACCATCTTGGCTTGATCGGCCCTCGTGTTTAGAACTGCGTCGCGAATCTTTACGAGCAAGTTCTTCTGACATAGAGGACTACACTTTGACGATCTTCTGACGTTGAATGCTGTGCATTTAAATCTTACTGCGGTAACCGATACTGCTGCGAAAATGATCGACCATCTTGGTTAGTTCGGCCATCATGGTTTATTTGGCTTGATGGGTCATCTTGGTTTGAAGCTTTATATGGCTGGGATGGGCCATATACAGACCGATATACTTACTAGGCCCCATTTGATATCGGTCTTTTTTCTTGCTGCTCACGTAGCTATGTCGATGTAAGCATATTTTCGAGCTAGGATTATATTGTGACTTTCGTTTTAGCGTTCGCTATATTCAGCTTCGAGCTGGCTGTAAACGAGCTGACTATGTTAAATCTGACTGTGGTAGACCGCTGCTGTTATATACAGATTAACCATTTTGGTTTGTTCGGTCATCAGCCATACATGCCTAATCGGCCATCTTGGTTGAATCTAAAGGTGGCTTGATGAATTCTTGGTTCATGGTAATGCTGCCACCTGTCGAGCAGTGCGCGACAACGGTGTATTCGTCATCACTGGCACTTGGCTGATACTACGGCGGCAATCAGTTGCGATGAACTCAACGTCTGCGAATGCTGCTGCTGAGCACTAATTGGCTTGTGTCGACCCGTAAGTTTCAAAACCTGCTTAGCGTTCGTGTAGATCGCCACTGTGTACAGCCGTGTCGCCGGTTATCGTTCGGCTGCCCCAACATCCGTTCACCGAATAACAAGGTTGGCGAGTTTCTTCACACTTGTCGCTCACACTCGCTAGATGTCGTCTTCTTGCCGGAGACCTGGCCTGACGCTGACTCGGTTTTCACCGCGAGTCTTGGCGCTGACGGACTCCAGGTAGTCGAGCGCCCGCAGCCTCGCATGCAACCCGACACCATGGCGACGAATTACGGTGGAGTATCTACCGTCGCCAGCAGGTAGCTTACCATTCTTGGCAGCGGCGCCCGACCCATCACCTTTGAGCTGCTATGTGCTAAGGTCACATGCGCCTCGCGCTTACGAGCGTTGCAATAACTATCTATCGTCCTGGCTCGGTTGAAGTGGTGCGCGATTTTATCATCTAGTTGAGCGATGTCTTCACCAGACTTGTGACTTACCCCGATCATGTCCTAATCATCTGCGATTTAAACGTTTGATTGGATCGCTTTGACGACCCATGCATCGGCTCGTCAGCTAAACAACCTTTTGGCTACCTTCGGCATGGTTTGTCACGTGGCCTTGCCGACGCACGACATGAGCGGACTGCTGGGCGCTGTCAGCACGAATGCTGATCTTCAAAATCTGCCAGTCGACATCATCGTGCTCGCAGAATCCGACCATCGACTACTTCAGTGGACGGTGCCGTGTGTGCCCCCGGTGCCAGCGTACAAAACCGTTACCTCTCGTCCGTGGCGCGATCCCGACGGCGATGTCTTACGCGAAAAGCTGCAGTCAACCCAGCGGCCTGACTCATGGTTGGCACTATCAGTCAACGACCTCGTGCAACTCTACAATACCGAGCTGACCTGTGCACTCAATGACCTCGTTCCCGCATGCTCAGTTCGGGGACCCCAAAGAGTCTCCTACCCATGTTTCGACGATGAATATCGGGTCTCTAGGGTCTTGGTAGACTTCTCCAGCGGGCTGTCTACCGGGCGAACAGACGCGGCAATCATGCTGCTGCATGCAGCTGCGGTCTCCACCTCGCGAGATGAGCGGCGCAATTATGTAGCCCTCCCTCTATCTAAATGAGAGCCATTTTGGCGCCAGAGAGTCGACGCGCGACGCAGCGATCCTTGAGCACCGTGGCGTTCGCTGGATAAACTCATGGGAAGAGGTCATACAGAGGCTTCGGGTGACGCAAGAGTGGAGAAATTCCATGGGGTTTTTGAAAATAGAATTTCTACTGTGCGAGCGTCAACAGCTGATGCTTCGCCGGCAACATTTGAGCCGTGCCCGTTCGACTACGTGTTCCAAGAATTCACTTGCGTCACAGCTGACGATGTCATCGCTGCAGTGCACGCACTGCCTAAAAGCAGTGTGCCAGCGATCCGCTGTCGACGTCATTACTTAAGGGGAAGGGAATGTCGTTCCATATATACACGCGTGTCTACCGTCGGCGACAGAGCGTTCCCGGTCGCCGCCGCCAGAATCTGCCAGTTTCCGTAACATCGCACTCCTTCGTTGCAGGTGTTTCATTGACTCCTAAACACGGAACTATTTCGTACAGCCTATGAATCAAGAGCTTCTTCATTTTATCCGTAGTCATCCTATCTCGTATCTCTTTAGTTTTCGCTGGCTATTAAACATTTGTCTTACGTACCCTCAAAGTTCGTTTGAACCAGACGCCACGACAACTGCTTTGTAGAATAATAATAATAATAATTATATGGTTTGACCTGCTTGCGGCGCCTCTCAGCAATAGCCTGCTTCTCCTCCAACAGCTCCTGCGTGATGTTGGTATCACTGGACTGCTGCTCCTCCAGCTTCTGGAACTTCTTGGGAGGATGTCGCTTTATCAGCGACTCCCCTCCCTCCCCCACCGCCGCCACCTCGAACGCCAGGGGCTTGCTTCTACCTGCAACACATGTTTCAATATTAGGCTAATGCTTTCAATATAAGACAAACTAATTTTTGGTTCTTTCGCAAGGTTTGACGCGAAGTTTTTATTGATAACTGAAGTTGCCTTTCAATACGCGACTAAAATGTAGAAAGGAACCACCTTTCAACTTTGATCCTAACTTTAACTTCAACATGGTCGTAGAGACCAGTGAACGGTTCTGTGGCCGAAATTATCCTGACGCCTACAATAGAACAGTAAGCGTACTAATAACCTTTTTTTAACTTTATTAACACCCAAAATTCTATTATCTTCTCTATGTTAATTAGGTTATTAACGATACAGTCGCTCACTTAGACGTTATAAAGAATAAGATTTACGTTGGGAGAAGCTTAGTTGCGAAGTAGTATAGCACATGTTTATAGCTCCCTTATCCGTGGATTTTCTGAAGGTTGATTATATCTTCGGTTATTTTTCCGCAATGAATTTGATATGATGTCCGCGTTCATTCGAGCTATTTCAGATTTCGTGCTTTGAAGTTTATACTGTTAAACTAAAGCTTTTTGTCAGTGATGCCTTTTCGTCGTTCCCAATGAATGCATATGAATCCTATACTTGAATTCCCATTTCAAACCTTTCCTTAAATATATAATCAACTTCCCCTGCTGCATGATTACAATTTGTCATACACTAACACATTGTTTCGTAAATAGTCATTCGATAGGTGAATGAAGTAGTCGCATAACGCAAAAGGTAATGTAAATTTTGAAAGGAGAAGACAGTACAAATAGGAATGAAATATAACAAACTGAGAACTCTACTTCCCACAGACATAATACCATACATATTGCCAACGAATTATGAAGCCAAAAATTTATAATATTGTTGTCCTAAAATGTGCAAAGTGATCAGCGAAGACTATTATTAGAAGCAATGAAAGTTTAAAGCATATCTGTTACTGTGATTGCAATGGTTAGTGGACATCAAAGCCTTTCACCATCAAACATATTTATATTATCCTAAAGTGCTTAAGTGAGAAGAAACGCTCAATCATTTCACTCAATCATAAAATTTTATAGAACATTAAATCTACCTAACTCAAATATTGTTTGCAATCGATGTTAGAGTTGTATACGAAACGGTTACATTCATTTATGTAAGAGTAACGCAAGAATGTTACATTTAAATACGGTTCAGAAGATAAAACTGGGACATCCGTAACGCATAAAAGAAGGAATAAAGCTCCAGCTAAATTTAGGTCTCGCATGACCTATCAAGTCTTGTGCGTGACATGAAGCCGGTGTGTTTTTGCCTTGTAATTTGATACTGAAACTTGGATTAAAGTGTTGAACCCGACTGCCTATGTTCTTTTCTAAAACAAAAGGCTGGTAACTTTTTCAATAATTCAACTGTACGCTAGTTACCTACGTAATAGTTTTCAAATGAGTTCCAGATTGTGGTACTAGATTGTGGTACTAGATTGTGGTACTAGATTGTGGTACTAGATTGTGGTACAAGATTGTGGTAGTACAGTGAACTCTGGAACACATTACGATTATGGCCTAGTTGAACAGTTGAGCGTTCCTATAATCACTGTAAACCGTTTTCTCTACTTGATTGTTCGAAGTATAAATATAATCCATTAAATTTAGATGAATTTACAATTTTTTACATTCTACAATTTTCACGTAATGTTTAAAACCAAACTTTTCAATGTAATAAAATTGTGAATAATAAACCCATGAATAATTTTTCTATTCTTATCAAACATTTTTAAAAATATTGGTCTTTATCTTAAAATAAAACCAAAAATCAAACAATTTCCTCAGGCTGTGGGCAGTTAGTACTTATGCATTTCCTACAGCATTCATGCACATACTAATTATTCAATTATTCACATTTCACTATCATATGGCACAGCTCAAAGGTCACGAGGCTAGGTCATGCCTGATATCTGATATATTATTCGTCTTGACCTCATTTCTTGACACTTATCCTTGCAAGGATCAAGGATACACGTCCTGACCCAAGGATACATGTCCCAGTGTCCTGAGCAAGATTTAATTAATCATGTGGTGTTAAAGTCTGGGACTCGTATAAAGTCCTTGACTGGAGTTATCCCATAATCATAATAGAGTCGATAGAGAAGAATCTATACAGATATTTCGTGTATATCTGAGTTACCTGAATTTTATCCATGTTAGTTGAGTTACCCAGCATGGGAACTGACATCCCCAACGTTCTACCTGAGACACCCGTGAGTTCCTCAGCCTGATACTTGAGTTACCCTGCATGTTGACTGAGTTTCTCAGCCTCATACTCAAGTTACCCTGCACGTAGGTTGAGTTCCTCAACCCGTTACTTGAGTTACCCAGTGTATAGACTGAGTTCATCAGCCAGATACTTGAGTTACCCAGCACGTTGACTGAGTTCCTCATCGCGTTACTCGAGTTACCCAGCATATTGGCTGATTACCCATCTTTTCATCAATATCACCTTTTATTGCGTGGGTGTTTCTTCTAATTACCCGGATTACGAGGCCAGTTACCTGAGCTGTTGCGGGGCGAGTCGCCTCCCTTTATATTCCTTCTGTCCGTAAGGATACCACTGATTGTTTTGCCGCTGCTGCTGCCTAATTGGTCGGGATCCTTCTTCATGTCGAATATTCCTTCATCCTCATCCTCCTCTTGCTGAGTTGAATTATTCTCTTCGTTTTCACTTCCTCTCCTATTGTATCCACCCTCTCCTCCGCCTTCCACTTCTCTTCCATCCGCGTTAACATTTGCAGTTATTGCATCATTTTCTGATGAGTTAAACTGCAGCGGTAAACTATTTCTCCTGTCACCCCCATTGTACTCGGGGGTCACAGGCAGGCTTCGTGATGATCCACAACCCATGCTTGGTTCAGTTAAACGTAGATTTTAATCTCGTAATCCCGAGATGTACTTTCCAAAACGAAATGCGTAATGTTTCGGAACTAAGATATGTTTCGGAACTACGTCTTGTTCCGGAAATACTTCATGTTTTGGTACAAATGTTTCATAATATTTTTAGAAGCACATGTTGCTGGCAATCGCCACGATTGCACGATTGATTGATCACGATTGCAACGTGTCTGTGACTGCGCTATCTCTGCTGTGCAGATCCTTAAGTTGCGGTAGCATCAGAGCTGCGCAACGTCGCGGTATATGATCCACTAGTTCAAAAAATTTTTACACACAAATTCCGGATTTTTTTCTATATAATTCACTGTTTAAATCAATCTTTAGAACATTTCATTATTAAAAAATACGCTATGATTCAGAAGAAAAATTAACTCAGTAGATTTTTCGATGTTCGGCAGTAGAACAGCTATATTAATTCTTATACGTAAGATCACAGTAAATTAATAGCACGAATGACACCAAATGCGTTGCATTTTCATTTCTGCTACTCGCATTAGGTTTTTAAGCAGAAGAGTATTAGTCAAAAATTTTTAATTACATACCAAAAGTATTTTAACATATTCGCTCTTTTAACTTTTTATCTTTTATTTTTCGATGCAGCGGGCCGATTTTAATTAATATATAAAATTTACCCTGGAACAAGTTAATTTTGCATCAAATGGCATAAATTTCGCTAAGAAATAAATCAGGCAACGCTGGAGATTATCCTAAAGATTAAAAGTGAGCAGAGGTTTACCTAAATAGTGCACGAGCAATTAACTGTTCACAAACTGTTTTAAAAAATCCGTTTATTTACAAGGATGAGTTTCCGGGGAGATGAACTTTCCTTTATTTATAGATAAAGAGTTTTCAATTCAGCAGTTGAATCCTGGCTTAACAAAATATAATTAATATTTACGCGCAGTTAGTATTTTATAGATCGATTGTGCCAATGTATTGGCACATATATATATGGCTATATTTTCGCCAGATATTCGCGTTCGAAAGTTCCAACCAAAGCTTCATGTTAATTTCTACTAAAATAAAAAACTTAATGAATCATATTAAACAATTTTGTTCAGTGGTTTTCCTATAGATAATTTTTCTACGTTGAGTTTGAATTGTTTTCCAATTTGAGTGCCTTCAAGTACATCAAACATTTTGCTTAATATTTGATCAAAAAGTGGTACATTTGCAACACATCGATCAGTATACGAACATACATATATTTATTATATTATGATTGATTTATTTAATAAATATTTCGATTTGATATGTTAACATCACCGTGAATATATTAACTCGTCCGATTAGCAAACAATGAACAAGAAACATTGAACAACATGAATGTTATACTCTTATCAAAAGGTCAGGTATTGACTGAATGGTTTACAAATGCAAGACAGGCGCACGTTCTCCCCAGATTTATCTATGATTTTCTGTTGTCATTTTTAATTAATTAATTATTATATCTAATAACCATGAGTCTTTCCAGTTTCCCAGTAATTTTTGAGTTTCGTATCATGTCGATACGAGTTGTTTATAACAAATCAGCGTCATAAATTTGTTTCGTTGTTAACTATTGACATAATTGTAATGGTTTAAATGTTTTCTAGTTTTTCACTGAAACGACAGTTTATTTTTGGGCTATCAATTTTTTTCATGCAAGCAAATTTGTAAGGCGGCAGACAAACCCAATATGAACATAACCTGTATAACGCGGTTATCGATAATAGTCATCAACAATGTACCGCATAACAAAAACAATTCCGCTAGTAACACACCCTGTAATTCCGGCATTTAGTAACACATGCAACATCAATTTTACTGTATATCCGTTGCAGCTAACACCCACTCCCAACGCATGCAACATCGAACATCTTAGTAAATACCAATATTTTTCGTGCAAACATCGCAACATGAATAATCTGCTATTATTGACAACGATCGTGCAGACGTATTAATTCGTACGTAATTAGTGCGTTATACGTCATCACGAATATTAGTTACACGAATAAAAAAAGAGATGCCCGGTACGGACGACATCGCTGCCACACACCGACTGCCCAGTAACGACGACTGCAAGTCTCTTCACACCTCAACTCCAGCCTTGCCGCATATCGACCACCTCATTCAGACCTTGATTCTTCTACTCCATCTCGCATTAGAGACACACTTTAAATTTAATAATTCTTAGTAATCATCTATAGTTTCCATGATTCAAACGAAATTTACTTTTTAAAATTGAAGATGAGTATTATACAGACATGTTGAGTTTGGGTTTTGCTTGCTTGGGCGTCAGCAAAGAATCGAAATATTTATTAACTTGATCACGAAGTCTGTATACCGAACTGGCAGTGAGTTGTCATGGCAACGAGGAATGCCGAGTGCAAACATTGCCCAGGTGAGACTTCACGTTCTGTAGGCGCTTCATGGAAAACTTTCCATATTCAGGGAAGACATTATAAAGAAAACTAAAAATTTATGGATAATTATCATGGTAACGATGCTGCTTACCGATTATTTCTACGCTAAATATATAAGTTAATGTGAAAATTCCATTTCCAATAAAATTTTTCAAGGGACATGGAGTTCAAGATTGAAATAGCAATTCCAAATAATATCATATTAATATGTCATCATTAGGAATATTCATACCTGGAATAACTTCTCCTAATATCATTTACATTGATAAGCTTAGCAACTCTTCGGCGTAGTTATCCAATAAACTTAATAATAAATAAACTACAGTTAATATCATACACGTTATGATTTGTAGTATGTAAAGGCGACTATTGATCAAGGGTGGTGATTACGGGTGATTGTACTGAGTATATCACTCACCGATATTGTACAGCATATATCACTCACTACCATTATATTGAGTAGATCACTCACTATCATTGTATCTCACTCACTGTCATCCTATATCTTTTACGATAATTGTATATAACTCACTATCATCGTATACACTTACTATCATCGCATATCAATCGAAATAATTGTATATCACTAAATATCATCGTATATCACTAGCTATCACCGCATATCACTCGCAATAATTGTATATCACTAACTATCATCGTATATCACTCACTATCATTGCATATCACTCGCTATCATCGCATATCACTCACCATCATCGTATATCACTCGCTATAATTGTATATCACTAAATATCATCGTACATCACTCACTATCATCTCATACCACTCGCTATCACCGCATATCACACGCTATAATTATATATCACTCACTAGCTATCATCGCACATCACTCGCAATAATTGTGTATCACTACCTATCATTATATATCACTCATCATCGTATATCACTCACCGGCAGAGGTCTCATCATCGGACATGTTGCCGCGCTTGCTTCGCGTGTCTGGGGAGCTCGACTATATCAATAGAACCTACGCCTGGGGGCATGAAAAAGCAAGATTATCAAAATATTGCTGGGTGCTTAATTAGTATATTAATATATAATAAAAATAGTTAATCATAATAATAGCCGATAATAATTATTAGTAAATTAATCGATATTTTAAAAAATAATATAGACTATTCGCAATTCCGGTCTTCCGACTTGAACTTTGTGATAATTTTATGACACGTACATATGTTTCTAAATTAAGGCAGTTTAAAGGCATATGCTTATTTAAAGCAAATTGTTTGGAATTTTTACTTATTTGTGACTTTAACTGAAGCATTTGATAAAGCAAATTTAAAAATATACATAGCTCATTATTAGAGTTTATCATGCAGTTAAAAGGTTAGCGTGAATATATACTTCTGGCTTTAAAATCTTTCCGTATCCTGCCTTTTAGTCAACATTTAACCGGATCCAGTTAAATATTAACTCTAAATCCATTTAACTGACATCTGAACAACCTGAACCCGACCTACAACATGCCGATAACCTATCGAAACCTACCAACGATGTGTCTAAGCCTATACTCTTACTGTATGTAGGTAGTATGTAGCTACAACCTAAATACAATGCATCCATGCTAAACTTAGAATTCCTAACTTAACACTATACAACACTATATTATTATACATAATACTATATTATTCTATATGACACTATATTATTTTATAGAACTCTACCTACTTAAAATACACTGCAGATATAATAGCCCCACCACCGCTCTATGTTATATAAAAAAACTCGCATTCATAAACATCGTTAAATGATTTGGCCCAGTCAGCCCACACCGCTTATAGTTATTTAACATCAATCTAGAAGAATACAAATTTTGTAATTATCTTTCAATAACCTTGTATAATTCTAAAAAAACCGTGGCGAACCCTAATCGAGATCCTGGCAAAGGTGAAATATTTTGAAGCATACATGGACAACATTTCTCTTGTATGTTATATGCTACGGACTTTAGTATGTTATATTTAGCTGTGAGGGAGTGGGTTAGGTAGGTAGGCAAGGTACGTTGTAAGGTAGGTATCTAGGCAACACATGTGTCATCAGGCCGCATTCCTGAGTTCTCCGAGAGTGTTTCATGCAGTCATATTGCTTTTATATGTTGCGCTTTTACACTACTATTTTCTATGCAGTATTTTACAGCTATATTCACGAATTATAACTTATATCTATTGCATTCATAAATAAATACTTGTGAATAATGTGAATAAATACTTAATCGTTCAACTCAATTAGAATTCGACAGAGCTGTTTTACAACGTGTACGGAGTACACACGTTTGAACCAACATGAAGAATAATGTAAACAACATACTGGTGAATGTTATTCCCGTATTTCTGCTAAACCTAAAACATTAAGATAACTCAAGCCATCATTTGAAAGTCGAGCATGTATGAAGAAGTGTATTTGAATTATGGGCTGGATAATTCGAAAACTTCAAATTCCACTTGAACATCTTTTCGCTGAATTTTTGACTTATAATTCAATAGAAAGTTGACTGCGCAATCTTTGAAGATTGTAAATTGCAAACCCGATGTTCAAGTATTTTTATAATTAAACTAAACTCCAGGTGGCATTTACAAATTTTCCTCGTTTTGTGCATTTTTTTATATACGGAATTACATTGGGAAAAAATCTCGAAGTTCAACTCAGTCGCCGCCTTTTCATCAATCAAATAATTTATATATTAATTTGATGGCATATTGAATTCTTGAATTAGATGATATTAAAAATGTATTATTCAGACCAAGATTCTGAAGAAAGATATATACAGTGACGGCTTTCCATGATAACATGTATGGTATAAACGATACATGAATGAACGTCTTATATACTGTAAATCAATGCATGAGTCAGGATGAATCAGACTCACGTGGAGGAAACCCAAATTATTGAAGGTAAATTAGTTCCTAAAGAACTACAATCTTCCTGCATTGTGAAATTCGCACAAAATCAATTTGATAGATTTTTATGTGACAAACTTTTTGCAAGCTAAAAAATTGGTAGCTTGGAGCTGCCTGGCCACACCCTTGGTCTTCAACATCGTACACGAGCCTTGTTTGTAGCGTTGCTTTGCTAAACTTGATACCTGATGTCGCTTATGAGATGCCTTGTTGCAGCAAACAGATAAGTGTTTGCTATTGATTATTCTGTTATAGCAAACCTGCTATAGCAAAAAGATAACTGTT